AGTCAAAAAGTCAGCTTTTCCCCCCTTGGTTTCTCGTTTTATGGTTCAAATTCACCAAGACTGCGACAACTACCCCCGACTGTTCGACATTGACTCGGTGGACATCGATTATTTGTTTGTCTAAAAAATTATATTTAAATATTTGATTTATGTAGGTCTATGTAACATAGTGTACCTTTCAAACACTTGAATGAATACGTCGGTTGAATCATTGATAATTCATTTAAATTAAATTGATAGAGATTCATCCATTTATCTAAATTATTATTTTTAATTTGATCAACATCAGAATATTCATACTTTTCATTAATTTGCTTTGGTACATATTCAAATGAAGGTGATCTTGATATCATATAACCAACAGCACAATGTATGTCATTGTGATCGATAAAACGAGGTAAACGATGGTGATAGTATTTATCATGCGTTCAGTGACAGTCGAACGATAATCGAACTAGAGACAATCGGTATGTGAAACAGGAAATGTGTCCGCGGTAGTATAGTGGTTAGTGTCCCCACCCGTCACGCGGGAAACCGGGGTTCGATTCCAAGCCGCGGAGTGGTTTTTTTTCTTTGTCTACACCACGTATTATGGGTGGTTCCATGTTGTAAAGAAGTTCTCCCGTCAGTAGCTTAAAGTCCTGTTAGATGACATACCCGTAATATTTCCTTGCTCATATTTTCGAATTGAAAAACTTGTGACAGCAGACATTTCAGTAACTCTGATCCACACGGAGTAGGTATACGCCAAGACCAAGACTAGTCTTGAGCCTTGAGCCTTGGGGGTCAAGACTTGGACTTGGGCCTTGATTTTAATTTCGAAAATGTTTTTTTAATGATTTTTCCTAAAAGATAGCCCTTTCAATTCTCTACATTTTAGTATACTTACTTTTGCCAAAGCCGATCTTTTTCGATTTTTAAAAAATTAAATACTAGAGAGCAGTAAATCGACCGATTTCGGTTTCGACGTCACTGGCCTCTAACGACACGTCGTAGACAAAAGTGTCCGTCACAAGAGTTGTAAAGCGACATTTTCTCTACAACCCTGCGCAAACCGCACATTTTTACTTGTTCCTTCGCTGAGTTACGGGTGTTTTACAAGTGTAGAGAAAAAGACGAAACTAAGTTAGAGACGCGTTTTCTCGACTTTAGTAAAACGATCATATTTCACTGAAAGAAGAAGTAAAAAATGTGCGGTTTGCGCAGGGTTGTAGAGAAAATGTTGCTCTACAAACAGCTCTTGTGACGGACCCTTTTGTCTACCAGGCGTCGTTAGAGCTCAATGAGGACAAAACTGAAAACTGGCCGATTTAGTCCTCTCTGGTATTTAATTTTTTAAAAATCGAAAATGATCGACTTTGGCAAAAGTAGGTATACTAAAACGTAGAGAATTGAAAGGGCTATCTTTTTGGAAAAATCATAAAAAAACATATTTTTGAAGGTCAACCCAAGACCAAGTCTTCGCCCGAAGATGTCATTAAAAGCAAGTAGAGTGTGATTTGCAACCATAAAACGAGAAACCAAGGGGGGAAAAGCTGACTTTTTGACTTTTCTCTCTTTTTCGACCTTTTGACTCAAAATTGACCTTCTTTGTATGAAAAGAGCCTTAAATAAGGCTAAATCGTCAAAGGAAACAGTCATGTCTCTATATTTAAGAGTGGCTCCATGACTCGACGTCAAAGTCGTTCCGTAGAAAATTTTAGAAATTGAATTTTTTTCTCTGCAGCGATAGAGGGGTAACCGGAACTTCGCCAATAAGACTTTCGCCAACAGGACATTCGCCAATGGCGAAAGTGCAGGGGGTGTATTGCGAAAGTACAGTGGACATTCGCCAATTGGCGAAAGTGCAGGGGGTGCGTTGGCGAAAGTACAGTGGACTTTCGTCAGCTGTCACGAAATAATATTAACATAGGATACATGTGAGGAGTGAAGCTAATGTTGTTAGAATATATATACCATAGCTTACACTTACGATATATTCGCATATGAGCGAGCCATGTTTTTTAATGAGAAAAAAGCGAGATTAATATGAAGAAAATACAAGTAAAGCGTAACCTAATGTTCATTTGACGATGCACCTGATGAATCTGATTTTGAAACATTATTCTTGTTTTTCTTTCCTTTCCTTCCACGACAAACAGGTTCGCGCACACACATGTGAACAGAAGTAAGACAAAAAATAGAAAACTAAATACTAACAACTTTTCTAATCCACGTCTAATTCACGGTCAAAATGGCGAAAGTACAGTGGACATTCGCCAATTGGCGAAATT